GGTGACTTAGAGAAATGTTATTAAGAACTAATCCAATATTCTGCACAAATAATCATCGAAATATGATTCATTGTTCAGGTATACATGTCAGGTATTGAATCCTTAATTAAAGTTACAGAATATCATTATTTTCTAGAAGGTGTCGTATATATAGAATGTAACTGTTTCACTTATAAATAAGTAAAAGATATTCAGATTTTATCTATATGTTGTTAGGCATAAAATTCGCTGGAATGCATATTGAAGTTTGTAGAATATTTAAATTCTTCTGAGTCAACTTTCCAACAAAAAGTTTTCAACTAAGAATTGTTGATGAATTTTGCAGTTGGAATAAATAAATGTAACCGATTCATTTGGTTGTCTTCATAGGAGATTAAAAAATGAGATCTTTTCTCATGGTTCCCAAAATGTTTTCAGATTACAGTGAATACTATTATTTCCTGACCATTTGTAGTTTTCATTCTTGTTCTTAATGGAAATGAAAGAAGTCATTATTAAACAATTAAACAAAATAACAACTATGTTTATTTGTAGATAAAGACTTTAATCGTAACACAAGAAAGAAAGACATAAAAAGAAAACTTCAAATATGCAAGACTCAGAAGCATGGAAAAGATACTGTTGAAAAAAGTACCCAGACAGATGTGGATGTGATTACAACAGCCGAGTGTCAATCAATACTCGCCTGTAATGGTTGTTATGCCATGGGATATTTCCCAGCATTCACTGCAGACTGCTGTAACAAGATACTATACTGTAAGAACTGTACAAAGATTTGTCGGAAATATTGCCCTTCCTGTTACCAACCTCTTAAAATTGTTCCAATGCCATGGATTCGTGAATTTCCAGAACTACTAGCTCAGAATAAGAGGCGTATAACACGTGGTAATTACCCAACCAGTGTATCATCGTCAAAAATGACTCAGACACTGGGTGAAGCTATTCTCAGAAGTGATCTACAACGCCTTTTTACTTGTTGTATATGCTGGTGTGTTGTTCAGTTACCAGCTGAAGTATGTCTTGTGTGTAATAAACTACTGGGCTGCATTCAATGCCTGAACCATTTTCGTTCAGTCTCGCAGTCTGACAGATGTCCGTATTGTCAAATCGTTATGCAAACACAGAAATTCCCACTTGTTGCTGGGCTAACAGAGCTGTTGAAGTCTGATGCAGGTTCTGATGTGTTACCCACCTGATTGACACTCGCATGTTTGTTTTATTTTAGGGTAGTTGTTTATGTGCTATTGTTCTGATAAAATTAGCATGGTACACAACAAATCTTGAAATCCAAGTGTACACACCAACATAAAAATAAAAAAATGTTGATCGCTTGTCTATGTTGAGTTCACTTGACACATAATATAACATAGTAATTGTGTAAAATACATCCATAATTAACATTATTCTCTTATTTGAGCTGTTCTTAGTGTATCATAATAGCTACTAGTTTGCTTAGAAGGATTTTCTCACTCATAATGAATCAGATCATATTTGGATCATTTAAATTTCGTACATACGTTGCACATGCACATGAATATTTTGCTCACATTCATTTAGACATGTGTATAAATGTCACACTTGTTTCACAAACCAATTGAAAGTGGCAGAATGACGTCCTTTTAAAAGCTAAAAAATATAATTTAGTATTGCCACAATTTGCCAAGGCACTTTAGAACATGACACGCATGACAATACCAATGAGAATGAGAATGATTAGCAGTTGCTTGGCAACCTTGCATAGCACATGGATTAATAATGATGACTTTGCTCTCGTACATAAACTATATGTGCTAACATTATTTTTACCTTTCCCGTATCATCAAAGATAAACGGGGAAAGATATATATTAAGGGACAAATGTCTGTCTGTCGTTGTCGTTGCACAATAACTTTACTAATTCTATTCCAAACTTTATTAAACTTGGTCACCTAATTTAGCAGTATAAAACCTTTCCTTAGTGTGAATGACAGATGTCTGGTGCGAAAATATGCAAAATTTCCCCTCTTAAAAAGTAAAATGTCATTCACACTAATCCAGACCTTTTAGTAGAGAGAAACATGAAAATATAGTCTTCTCTTGATTTGTGCCCTGATTAACCCCTCTTCTCTTAGAGTTATTCAGCCCTCAATATGGGCCTTAAATTATACCCTCTTACATGCAGATATGCTGCCTCTAATATGTGTCTGAATTATACCCTCTCACACAGAGATGGTATATAACGTGTGTCTGAATGTTTGACATATTAAAAATGCATAGTTTTTGCAGCAATTCCTAAAAATTTTGAACATTGCAAAATATAATGATATAGGGGCTATTCAAGCACACATGCTGTAGATGGTAGATCAACACAAATACCACAGGTACTATGTCTACATGCATGTCATGGGTTCTAGGTCAACAACACATGTGTCGTAGGTGATAGGTCAGCACAAAGGGTCATAGGTTAGCACATAAAGGTTAGGGTTTGTGCATATTTTGCAATACCAATCCCCCTACCGAAAAGCTTCATTTGTAAGAAGTCATTTAAAAAAAATATATATGCGTTAGCTGACCGCACAACAGGATCATAGGTGATAGGCCAGCATAAAAAAGTCAAATGTGATAGGTCAGCACAAAAGGGTTATAGGTGATAGGAAAGATGATTTGCAAAAGCCGCCTCGCCATAAGACAAAAATCATGGCCAAGCAGAGATTTCATGAATGTTGGCAATCTGCGAATAAACAAATTGAAAACCACACCCTAAGTTTGATTATTGACATTCATTATTTTGTGATGCATGATTTGTATAGTTGAGTTTGAGGAGCTGTTAATACAACAATTGTGTGTCCTTTCTTCTGAACTCTGCGATAGTTGACATCTCTCGTATATGAACACAACTAATTCATCTGAAGATTGTTTTGTTACAGTTGACGCTATTCTTTTCATTGATCATGGTTTTCATCTAAGGTTTCTTGGAATGAACATTAGTTGGCATTTTTCTTTATTAAATGTGAGAAACATTATCTTTTAATTATCTACTCCTAAGGCAATAGTGTACCACATTGATACAACTATATTTCAGTGCAGAAGTTCTCATAAACACACAAACAAGTATAATAAATTATTTGAAATAAATGTGTTCAATACCTGCATCGTATGTACGTAACATCGTATTGTCTGCAGATGATAAAAACAAACTATATAAAAGACCAAAAATACGAGCAGAAAAAATAATCTGTAAAAAATGCACTTGAAATACATTTTGTAACGGGGTGTGATTTACATAATACTGAAAGAGAAATACTTATCCAGAATTCACAAATGTACTCCCTGTTTGTTACAAGAAACATGACACCATAAACATGTACTTATCATACATAATTGTATATCATCATTGTCTTAGGATAATTTGCCATTTTAAACTACAGTTATCTTAATTTTCTTTAACTTTCATTTTTTTTACTGTTTTAAAAAAAAATTATTACATAACTGTCACACGCAACGTAATATTACCGTAATTGGTATTATAATAGTACAGGTTGTGATGGTTCAAATACGAAAATGGCAACAGTAACAGAAAGACTTCCCTGGCGGCGATGATAAAATACGAACACGGAGCCAACAGATGAGGTTTCAACTGGTACTGGTATTATTATACTCTGCAAACATCAGTATAATAACGCGGTAAAACTCCACTACTCCAATGACGAGATACTTAAACTCCAATACAATTCAACGAGATCTCCGATCTGAACTCAATGCTGAACAACTCCCCTATATATACCCCCACTGTCTATAAATAGACCATTAAATCAGCATACATAATGAGTCTGGAACTTACTACAAATTTCTAGAATGTTCCATTACCTTCTATTGCCTCCTACAGTGTTCTATTACCTATTCAACCAGTTTCTAAAAAAATCTAGAATATTCCACCCAGACACAGTACGGTTCTAGAACATTCTCAGTGACACGGAAGTGCATGGTAAATAAGTCGTATGCGACAATAACTGTGATGGCTTAATTATCGTATTATTAAACCAATTCTGAGGTACCAGGGTTCGGGGAATTCGCCACCTTTTCACTGAACAGAACACATAATTGAATTGTGTCACATATCATCTCAGTGCCACGTTGTAGCTCTCTCACGACTGCCTACCTCGTGGTGTTCCACCAAGCTTTATTCACTTCTCAACTCTTAGCCAATTACAAGGGAGTATAAAGCCTAAAGTCGTAGCCTCCAATCATACAGCCAATCACACGAAGTACTGGACAAATCATATCTACTAATAAATTGCCCCCTATGTCGGAAAATAAGTTTACATTGAAACCGTTAGTTATACTTATAGGCGCCAAGAAGATAAAAACATTCCATAGTTGACAATTATGTCTGCCAGTTGTCCCATTTACTAATCCCCCTTAACATACGAATGAACCTAATCATGACAAGTTATGAGCAGGTGTGGATTATCCAGGGGGGCATCAGTGAAAGTCGCTATAACTGCCAACAGCGGCCTCACATCTAAGTACATGGAAATACAAATCATGACATAACAGCCTAAAAGGAATCTGTTAACTTTTATTATGGTGTAATAAATGAAATTATTATTATTATAACATTATGTAGCATCAACAAATAATAGCAAAACCAAATTCATAATGTTTGGTAAGATGATCACAGAGTGCTTATAATATCACAATAAAAACCAATTAGTTTAACAAACATTAAAGCGACGGCCAAGCGTCTGCCCATAAAACATTGCGTTGTTATTGTCACTTGGGACTCAATTCCCGCGCGTGCGCAGATAGGACCCTTCCGCTTTAACCTTTCTCTCTTAATTGTGTGCATGCACCCGAGACAAAATCCAGCAATCCATCTTTGTGCCACTTCTGTAATGTCGAGTATTCTTGATTGAAACCATGTCGTGTTTTGAAAGATCCAGCTGTAATATTTGTAAACTCTCCAAAATAGTGATAGGGAACAAATCTGCCATCGGGACCAGCTGGAAATGGATAGAATCCATATACACTGACTTTATCACAGAGACATACAGCGACACCAATGGTGAGCATTCCTGCTGTTGGAGCTTTTTTGAATTTCATTGCACTGGAATATAAGAAATCATGATAAAATATTAAGATTTGTTTTTCACTTTAGATACAGTTACACCATTTGTATTCCATCAAACTGTGAAAAAGGAGCCAGAAGTTCAAAAGACGACATGATTTTCTTGGGGTCTTACATACAAGATGTCGGTTACTACATAATAATGCTCGTATAAAATATATAAAATTCCAGTGTTGACGGCCCAGTTGAAGTTGGTTGACATTGTTATCTCAAATCAGATAAATATTTTTATGCACTTATTCACATAAGATTATTATAGATACTGATTCCCAGTCCAAACTTCATTGTTCAAACCCAGCTTTGCCTGATTGAGAACTCTCATTCACCTTTTATATTCCGAACTTTGACATTCTGAGCTGCGAAATGCCTTGCACTAAAGGGTGTGCAAATATCTAACCTGCATACGCAAGGAAACGATACAAAACAGTGGGTGCTACTAATACACATATGAAAGCAATAAAGTATAGAATTACAGAAATAAATCATTGATATGAGTGATAATATGGCTGTAATTGTAATCACTTACTGTATGTATTATGATCCTGATTCGAAGTAATCATCATAATTATATTTAGTGATCGATATCTGGACATGCTAATCACGTCGGAAAGGGTACATAGAAACAAGCGAATTGCGATATCACATTATGAATGAAAGTACAATTACTATATATAATATGGATAAATTAACTAAAAATAAGCCTTAGGGTCTTTCCCTGTTCAACAAAAAGTTACATTCAAATGTCGGAAGTTTATTGTTGAGATCTGGCGTGATTTCACACTGCATGCGTGCTCATAGATTACGTTTACTGTATGCCATCTACTCCGACTGTCTCAATTACGTACTTCGAGGCTAGTGGTGCTGTCTATCAGTGACTGCGCTGATTTCAAGCAACTATTACGTATTCTGTGTTCTCTTGTATATCTATTGTAAATTGTTTCTTGAATGTCATGCTAATATCAGGTTTAGTGGCAATAACCCAATCTTTCACCGTTATTTTGAGGCTATGTACCAGTCAATCTATTTAGTACAATGACTCACCTTAATAAATGTGTATAATTTTGTTCAACTTCCGTGTAAGCCACCTGAAAATTCAGATCAAATTTTGACTTGAGGTACTTGACGGAATATACCAGCTTTTTAGTTCTTGCTGTTCGAGGTGACCCAAGAGTCCAAAGTATTGTGTTATTTAGATACCGGAAGTTATCAATGAAATTTGGAGAGTCACTGTTCTTTTTTGCATACTTATGAATGTCTTTAACTCTGGTTAGATTAATGTTGGTTACATTTGTCTTGTTGCCAACGTCACGGCTGAATCCTTCAATTTCTGGAATGTTACAGCGGATGACAAAGTCGTTGGAGTTGATCTCGTCACCACAACTGCTGTTTAGAAGAATTCCACTGTTACCAACAACGGCACACGTCTTCTGGCGTGGTATCCTATGCACGGTCATGTTTTCTCCTTTAATTGTAAATGGATTGCCTCTTGCAAATTTACTGAATATTTGTGTGCTATAGAACAAAAGCATAAAGAAACGAAAATGAAAAAAAAAATGAAAGAAAAACAACGATGCTTATATTCGTTTTTTTTTTGATAAATGAATAGCCAAACTGATCTACCTATGATATGTACCTGTTTTTTGTTTTCTGTTTTGTCTTGCCTCTGAGAGAGTTGTTTGCCTGTTTTTCCATGATATCACCCGCATGCACTCTTTTTGCTGTATATTTATATGGCTTTTCATTTCCTGTACTATTTGTTAGAGAATCGTCGCTCTGCTGTGCTGTTATATTACTCATATGCAACGTTATATTCATTGTCCGTTTCACATGCATGACATTGGTTGTAGTGTTCGTAAAAGAGTTGTTTGTTTCTTGTTCAATGATGTTAACCGTAACCGATGTTGTTTTCATTCTGGAAAGCAAAATCAACGGGCAATATTTATCCATGCGTTGAAAATAGATTTGCTTTGATTATATAACTAGCAATTATCTCAGCTTCTTTTTAGTACACATCCTAGAACTTTAAAAAAATAGCTTCTAGACGCTTTTACCTTTTGTTGTGAAATTTTCACAAATGATTGACAATGTGTTTATCTTCAAAACGCCGTCGGGGCATTGTTTTTGGTTGTTACAACAGTGTTACAACAATCGTACAGACAACTAACC